TGAGTTGAATGTTCTAGTGCCATTTCTTAGTTTGCTGCAATGTGCATTTGGTGATGAGAGCACATATGATTTGGGACCATGGGACATTCTGGAATCCACTCTGGCCTTCGCGACTCTGGTCTACCATCTGTGGTGCTTGCAGGTGGCTTTCCTTTAACTCGCTTTAATTTTTTTTGTTCTAAACTGCAGGCAACACATAGTGAATTAAGCTGATAGCAAAGAAGCGGCCAAATGGGCAACTGGGATCAGAGTATAATAATAAAACCTGCATACTGTTGCGGTAGCGACCGAAGTGAAATCTGGATTTAGCATTAGGCGTTTCATCGCTAGATTTTTATAAAATAGGATTGTTAATTTTGTGCGTAAAGCATGATTTTTATTCCTATCATAGGCTTTTTTGGAGGCATTCATTTCCTTGGCAGTAATGAAAGGGTTTATTGTACGTCCAACCGCTGTACTACAAACTAGCTTTCCAATTACCCGTGGCGGTTCTAAACGCGATGCGAATCGGCCAGTGTGCTGCATTGCCACTCGTAGTAGTGGAGGCCAGACGCTATTCCTCCAAATAGTAAGCAACACTAGTAGTTTATTACTCTATTCATACCTGCTTAAGAATGCATGTTTTGCAGGTGTTAAATGTAATGATATTCTCTAAAAGAGGAATTTTCAGACAAGCTTGCGATTTTGCAGTTCAGATCCAATGTACAATTTTAAAGAATTGTAGCTTACATTAATTCTTCCGCGTGGTTCCTCATTTCAATCATACACTTATTCCAATGTTCAACCAATATTTCCGAAACACAATAAAGAAGGAATTGCCTGTAGGGCGAAAGCGTTCCAGGACAGTCTACTTCACCGCGTCATTCAGCCCTCTACATTGGCTACATTGGCGAAGCGATAGTCCTCTGTCAATTCGGATCTGACAGAAGTGCACTGATAACCACAGGTCTTCGGATCATCGAGTCCCTTTGCTGCAAGTAAAATCTCGCAACGCCATACACTTTTGACTCGTTGGATGGCGTTGACGCAATCCTCTGGAATCTTGACCTATTGGAGGCCCTGGCCAACCTCCAGTTTTCCAAGTGTTCTGAGTCCAAAAGAACGACTTTTTTTGCATGAGAGAGGCAAAGGGCGACCATGCCCCTCCCTTTCGGTCCAAAAAGGCCGCAATGTAAAGTGCAACCGTTCTTTTGTCCCTTTATTATGCATCAACCAGCCTGAGGTGAATGCCTCTAACACAAAGGATATTCTTCAAATGACAAGAAACAAACGAGTCACGCAATTACTTTGACACCTTTTCAATAAGATGTTAATGTAAATATATTAAAGACACTTTGAATACCCATTGCACTGACATATTTGAAAGGGGCACAGAAGGCTGCCAACCAGATTCAAGCCCGCCTTACACTCAGTGAGACTACCGTGCAAATACATTTTTGGACTGAGAAGACGGGTCAAGTTGATGCTTATACGTCCACCTCATTTGGGTAAGAGGCACGAAGCAAGCGACCTCCCATTAGAGTCAGAATCCCACGAAAGGGACCACAAGCGGCGAGGGAACTGAGCACATTGAACATGGTGACTCCTGATGCGACACTCATTGGATGCATTTGTTGGAATGCAGCAAAAGAAATTCCAAACAATTCAAAACTTGAATTAGAATGGCTCATTTATGAGACCGCATAAGTTTTCGAAAGGTGCAAAAGTCGGCGGGGAACACAATCGGCGTCTGTCAATGCCTCTCGGCCTAGGTTACTAGTCAAACAAAATATCTATGCAGAGACGTCTATTAGACGACAGTAGTCAAGGCAGGAAGAGATGATCATTAAGCATACATTTTATTCATAATTGCTGGGGCAATTTACGAGTTGGCAAACTCGCATTCGGCATTCCAGTCATTGTACACGTCGATCTTTTGGCTCAGTGCGTTCACAGACGTATGGTAGTCCTCCAGACATATTCCATATTTTAAGTAACCAATCCTTTTTTCTCTATTGCTAAAACAGTCACGTCAAAATGAGCAAGTAGCATGCATTTGTACTTCACAAGAACCCTCGCGGTTACAAAAGGAGAAACTGAACTGCTTCGGTAGTGGCTCAATCACTTTTGCCTAGGCTGGGGGCTTGCGCGCACTAGTCTTCCGACTCACCACGAAGACACATCCACTCCGTTAAGGTAGCTTTCATGCAGGCGAAAATTAATGCGTTCCTGATGTACGCCTGTGGCATAATACAAAGCAAGTGGATCAAATCATCTTTAACGCAGAAAATACCTCGCTTTTTATCGAAAAAGCATATTCAAGTTAGGAAAATTTCTTTTGAAAGAGAGGATAATATAAGCAGACAACAAATTTTGGCGAAGGCAGCATGAGCATTAAAGCCATCGTTGGAAGAGATTCTGGACTGGGGCCCGCTTGGAAGATGATGCCGTTACTTAGGCCCTAATAATTGCCCTTTCCGTATCTGCAACCCCGGAATATCGTTTGTGTAAACATTAATTTTTTATACATATATGAATTCTGCCTCTTATTTTGAGGTCTTGAGGACATTGCATTGTCATTTGGTTAGCTAAGGAAAGACTTGCTAGTTATCGTGAGGAAGGTAGGGGGTAGTGCCGCATTCATAATAACCCCCTCATCTTTCACGGAATTAGTGGAACAGAGAATAGGAAACAAAGTGCGAGTTTGGGGGAGAAGGGTAGAGAAAAGTGGTTCTGGAGTCAAAATTTTATTATCTAATTGCTATTCACGAATTTCGGGGGTCGTCACAGAAGAACACACAAAAGAGCTTTGATAAGTGTCTAACTGTCTCTCCTTAGCTCAGAATTGCTTTCCGCCCATCCTTAAGCAAAATGTCATACCAATTTCCTTCAGATCTTGTTTTAAGCAATCTCTCGTTTTGTGACACAAAGAACGCCAAGTTGAAACATATTCTAGGGATAGAGGAACGGAGAGAGTATTCTCTACTTGGCAGACCATCCAATCACTGACCTGAATAGAGGCCCACTTCACTTGCAACAACATAGGTTAAAATGGCTGCATTTTGGGCATAAACTCCCCAAAATTGCAAGATTTTACATTATTTGATATCTAAAATACACATACCTGACTGCATACATGCATGATTTTACCTCGTTTGCTTCAAAAATACATTTGCCCCTTAGCGAAATTTCCACTTTTCCAAGGCACCTCTCAGACAACCCACATCCCACCTCCCTTTTGTCACATTCTCAAATGACTTGACAGCCACAACGCTAACAGACAAGTGCACGATCATCAAGCCTTTTATTTTAAAAGTAGACACTTGCCATTTTCAATAAGCTAAAGAATGCATCATTTCATAAGCACTGTCTCTGCGAAGCAATTAAGGAAAAATAGTTCTACATAGAGCGGAGATTTACACTGTTGCCAAACCATTGCAATAGTTGAAGCAATAGCAGCAAAGTCTTAGAAACTAAGGAAAGAAGAAACTACTACTGAAACCGTAAGACGCAAGAGGATTAGGCGGAGTGCGCCTGGGAAACACAATTTCAATCCCTCCATTGCTCTAGAAATTTCCAATTGAACCAAAGGCAGACTTCATAGCGAATATTTCTGCCCACTGCCCATCCTTTTTATTAGAGCCTCGAGTGCACTGTTCTCCAGTAAATTCTGCCATTTCTTCCACTATCCTCCCTCTCTCGCCCTTTCTGTCAGAGTCTACTCAGTGAGGTGTAGGAATGTAGTAGATGCAGGGAGAGCCAGGAGCAGATCAATTCGCGGAGTGGAAAAATTAATGGAGGGATCAGTGAAGGAAGGCATTGACGAGAGTGAGTAGGAGGAGAAGGCGAACAGACGAAAAACATTTGCGATGGTGCCTGCGTTTAGCCGTCAAAAGTTTCTGGAGCAACGTGAGGACTGAACACAAGGGCCTCAGGCGCATCATGTCTAATGGTCTTGCGATTTACCATCTTGAAATTGGTTTCTCAAGCTCTCCGTCTTTAATTTTGCATTTTACTTTCTCCTTCACCCAACCAAAAAAAAAGTAGAAATTTTCTCGGGGCGGATGATAACTGCAGCTGAAATACACGGACTAATTGTATTGTCGCTTATGTGGCCCAGGTTGGTCAGTTTCTACAGAAAAGCGCTGGAGAAGGGAGTCCAACTCAACATCCAAATAGCCTTCAGCAGAGTTCATTTGAGTTGTAAGCGGCCCATCACGGATTGCCGTTTGTTGTGAAGCTTAATCCACCAGTTTGTAGTAGGAAATTATCGCCAGAATTTGCTGCGAAAGCGAAAGAAAAAATAATTAAATTTAAGTGACGTCTTTTGCTAAAAGTTGTTTCCTAAATGAAAGGGTCCTTTCGTCCCATCTTTTAAGGCACTGAGAATGCAACATCTCGGCTTGTCTACCAGGTCTAATCTCCAATGCCGCTACCACCACTACGAGTCATTGGTAGAAGCAATAAAACCTAAATGCTACTTTGCTCAAAAGCTGTTGTCACGTTAACTGTTTACTTGCCAGACCGGGGTGAGTATGGCATGCGGCACAGGGAACTTGTCAATACCATCGAGTTGGCTGATTCGTTTGCCTGTTCAGCAGATACCGCCACAGGCTTGCACAAAAGGCAGAATCAGTCAGTCAGCCATTTCTGTTGTAACCTCATCTGTCGGACTGTCCTCAATCTTGACGTTGCTGCTGCGCACACCGAGATAATGCTTCACTAAGCAGTACATTCTTATAGCAGCATTCATTTAGGAACTCTGGCGACAAATGTTATATAGACGGAGACAAATAGTGACGGTAGTCCATTTTCCGTACCTTTTGTGCTAGTGTTTCTGCATTAAATATTTTCTGCTAGAGGCATTTGTGTTATGTAGATTCCACTCTTTGCATAACCTACATAGTGTAACAAATTTGCCTTTTTAAAACCATTTATATGAATGAGATCCCTGAGAGTTAATGCTAGCCGTAGACCTTCTAAATCTAAAGTGCCTTAGACACATAAGTAGTAAACTTTCTATACCATTTGCATATCAACGAAGAGTGATTTTTTACGTGATGTTGCTCCTATTTTTACCTCGTGTCTTTCTGTGTGGTTGGTTGATTAAACCGCAGTATGCCAGGTTTCGTAACTGTAATGGTGTCATTCCTCAAGTCTTCTCCTACAAGATAGGGATTTTGTGCATCTACCTAACATGGTTAGCACGAGAAAGACACCCCTCTAATGGCTACTCAAGTGTAAGCGCTGTGAAAGAGAATTTACTGGTAATCTTTTAGGACCTAACGGGAATTCAGGCCTCTTAGCAGAATTTTATTCTCCCTAGGCGCACTGATGTGGGCGAATAACAAATAATTACGGCGATTATAGCGAAAAAAGCCCTCTGTTGAATTGCGCGGTATTTGGAGTGGTATGTATAGGCCATGGTGATGTATCTGAAGATAATGGTAAGGGCACCGATAAAATGTCACTAATTAATG